ATGACGGTGTATTTACTATCAGATGGACAGTCCGAAAAGGCGTTGTGTAAGAGGGAAGATAACGATGACCGCATTCCAATATGCTCTTATAATGTATGCACTGAATGCAGTCGTCGGGCTGTTTATGAGAACCCGGCTAGCGTGGAAGTTTATACGAGATCGATCATCCTGGACCAGATACGGTTCAATAATGGGAAGCATGGTGAAAATTAATAATGACAGATGCATCCATATTTTGTATGGCCATTGAAAATAGCTAAAAAGTAATGCCAAACTGATCAAAGTAAAATTAAAAAAATAAAATATCAAAGCAGAGTGATAAAGTTCGATTATGGCAGAAAAGAAAGAAAAGCTTTTTGTCAGTTTCAATGCTCACGTAAAAAAGTTTGTTCCAAAAACAAATGATCGTTTTACCATTCACCAAACGTCAAATTGCAAATGTCTTAAGCATTCTGGAATATACAACAAAACAAATATTTTGCAAATATCGCAGGAACAAAAACGGCTACAATTTGAAATGGGTGGAGAGATTGCAGCATTCTTCTGAGAGTTAGGCATACTTTATTGTTTGCTTGTGTCGTAAAGTGATTTAATTTTTATAAATTTATACCAATTATAAAAATATTATGTTATAATAAAACAACACACCAAATTTCATTAAAATCGGTTCCATAGTTTTCGCATAATTTTTTGAAAAAAATTTTGAAAAAATAATTTCGAATTTTCAAAATGTTACAGAGCCTCAAATAAAGCATCTAGATACTTGAAAATTTTTTCACATAAACCGAAATCGGTTGATTAGGACGGTCACAGTAAATTTTTAAAGTTATTTTATTTTGTCATTGAAATTGAAAAACGTATCTCTGCGGAGAAAAATATTTTCAATTTAAAAAATAAATACCAGTTTTTGTCAAATTACAGCCTCTTGAAAATGACGTAAAAATTTAGTAGTTTTTTTTATCCTTTAATTTTTAAGGGAATTGGACACATAAAGTATCAATAATCATTTGGTTCTCTTTCCAAGGAATGAAAAATAAATGTTTATACTGAATTAAAAAGCACCCTAATTTACCTCATCACACTTGGATCTTCACGTCGTTTATTTCAAATGAGGAAGACTGGAAGACTTGTTTGAGTTACAATAAACTTTGTTGCTTTGTAACACACAGTTCGCAGGGTTTCAAATAAGTTGGCAGTCAATGAGATAGGTACACCGCATTTTTAGTCAATGCTAAATTTTCGTGCTATAGTGGAGATTTTTATAAAGGCTTGTGTGTAATTACATATGAGATTTATTGGGTACTGAAAATAAGTTGTGCCGACGCGACGTTTCGATTATTTATGATTTTTTTAATTCATTAATTTGGCTTTTCTAGGAATATGACCAAGCTTGTTATAGACTATTTGATTATATCCAAAAAAGATGGTTAAAAGGGAATATGATGTTCAAGCAATTTTATTGCATTAATCGTTCAAAGGGTCATTTTAGATGAAAAAACCGCGGAGTGCTTTAGAGGGTGAAAATTGGAGATAGGGATCAAAATGCACCACTTTTAATTTTTTAATTGTAGCTCGAAAACGAAGCAAAATTTCGCTATAGTTCGTAGAAAAAATTATTTAGAGAATTGAATTTCCCATTGAAATGGCTTATTTAAAAAATTTCAAAGGAAAATTTTATGCAAAAAATCGTTAATAAACAATTTGAAAAAAAGCAAAAAATTCGATTTTTTTATTTTTTTTACTTTATTGCCTCTAGTTTTTTTTTGAGTAAAGATACGTATAGGCATTGCTTAAAACAAAAATAAATATAATTTCGTTCAAAACAAGAGGTTGTACAATATTTTTGGATGAGAATTGACTGATATAAGGTCGCTCAAACTCGGCCAATTTTTCCTTATACGTTTTAATTCTCATTTTTTGCAAAAAAGGAAAGATTCCATCAAGGATTTTCATCACATGACTTGTTCGAAGGGTCATTAAAAATGAAGAAACCGAGGGATGCTATTAAATTAGAGGGTTGAATTTGAAGATACACTTTTGAATTTTTTTAAATATATCACGAAAACGAAGCACAATTTCGGTATAGTTCATCGGAGAAATTTTGTAGAGAATTGAATTTTCCATCGAAATGGGTTATTTAAAAAATTTAAAAGAAAAATTTAAATTTTTTATATTTTCGTCGTTTTTAACATAAATTAGAGTCAAAAAAGTAAAAAAAAATAAAAAAATCTTATTTGCTTTTTTCAAATTGTTCATCAACTATTTTTTGCATAAAATTTCCCCTTTGAATTTTTTAAATAAGCCATTTCGATGGGAAATTCAATTCGCTATATAATTTTTCCTATGAACTATAGCGAAATATTGCTTCGTTTTCGAGCTATAATTAAAAAACTGAAAGGGGAGCATTTTCACCCCTATCTCCAACTTCCACCCTCTAATTTAATAGCACTTCGCGTTTTTTTCATCTAAAATGACCCTTTGAACGATTGATGTAATAAAATATCTTGAACGTCATAGTTCCTTTGAAAATCCTATAATCAATAGCCTATTATTTTAAAACTCAGATACAACAATAATTGAAAACTAGTGACCAGGAAACGAAGGTATTTGCTAAATAATGCGACAGCTTACCCGCTAGGACATAATTTTATAGTCCAAGGCAATATAGTTTGAATGAAGCAATATTATTATCTATGTTATTTATCTAGAATTATATAATTTCTGCTGTATTATTACCGCTTTGTAATAATATTCGTAGCGTTGTTAAAATATTCGGAATATTTCGATTGACATAAGGTCGTTCATGTTTCTAATGTGACCTAGAGAATCTAATAGCTGTCTCTGCACCACACAAGACTATAACTTACGTTGTACTCCCATTTTATTTATTTAAATTATATTTTAAAGATACCAATTTCGGACAAAATCGTGTGCAGTACAGATAGACATCAGTACAGGCCTTTCTCACAGATAAACTAAATGATTAGTCATTTATAATTTCCCAATGTCGCTGTCGCTTTCGTTTGTGCTAGGTATTAATATGTAAATATAATTCAATAACTCTTTAAAAATGTGGGAAACATTTTTTCGTGCTTTCCATATTAATTTCACTAAATTTTATCGACGTATCTATGTTTTATTCATTTAACTACATTCGGTAAACGATTATTAGATAAAATTAAATTTATCATTGGAGACATGCCATTGCGAAACATGTAAATACGTTTTGTAATATGCACAAACTGTATAAATATTACTAAACGGATAACGCGACATAACTTGGAAACAGTTGTTAAATAAACGACTGGTAAGTATGTGAAAATGAAAACGGTTGATACGTATTAATATTTAATGTATTATTTAAACATTATGCTTCGCGTAAGTTGTTATCTGCTAAAGGTAATGCTTACAACAAATTATTATGCAAAAAATACAACTGTATTTTCAACATTTAGTGACGAATGCGGTTAATACCACCTTTTGTTTTAACTGTATTAAAGAATTATCGAATTTAATCCTTTTTTTAAATTTGGAGATAGGGCATTGTTAATATAACGGGAAACATCGCCTTAATGTTAAAAATGTTGTCACCGCCGTTCTTGGGGGTGAAAATTCGAAATATTTAGAATTGTTCAAATTTCGTGGCTGAAAATGTACATAGGTATTGTATTTTTTAAACCCAGTGAGTTGCGCGAAACTAAATGTTTACAGGACATAGCTAGTACCATGCGAAATATCGCCATAATTTTAAAAATGTTGTCACCACCGTTCTTGGTGGTGAAAATTCGAAATATTTGGAATTAAGGTACCTCAACCAATTATTGCCATGCTAAGGCAAAACATATATTTTTTGTAAATATTTTATCTGAATCAGTCTATAATTTATTGAGCGTACAGTACAACATGTTTGCAAGCTTGACATATGTACCATATCTATAACTATAATAAAAATATGTTTTTTAGCGTTTTTTAAAAACTTTTACCAATGACAATATCAGGAACACCTCTAAAAATAAAGGAAGAAGCATGGAAACAAAGAAAAATTCAATTTAGCAAAATAAGTATTTACTTGTTTCCAAAAAAGAAACATAATGGATGCTAGGTGCACATAATAAATGTAAAAACTAGATAGAACTAAACGTTACACAGCTAGGACCTATAAAAATCTCTTTGTCGCTTTTAGTAAGACCTACACATTCTTCATAAACATACCGCTGATACAACTACAACTACTTCTACTACTACGGCAACAACAACGACGACAACAACAACAGATGCATAAGCACCAGCAAGATGAATAACAGCAATAACAACGGCATCTAATCTAAGAGAACACCACCTTTTTGGAACATCTACGGACGGCAATATTAGGTACCCCTGAAAACCTATTAAACATCTTACAATTTAAAAATAGTAACTTTACAGCTACAATAAAAACAATCTAATACATCGAGACAACTGAATAAACTTATCTTATGATATTTTTGTCACTTTTTATTTTTTAATACAATGTCAATAAGCAATAAAATAAAAACAAGAGTTTTTATAATCGGTACGAACAGAAAACGACAGTGATCCCTTCGGTAGCTAATGCAGTCTTGGCTTTTGTTTGATGCATTTACGTGATTGAGTTTAAGGCCAAGGATGTTTTAATACGCATATTTGTCGGAAGAATGATGATATCACGGTTTTAAGTCTACTGGCAATATTAGGAACATGCCAATAATTATTATTTAATTTTCGTGGATGAAACCTTACATACGTTATTTATTCTTAATGACATTTACGCACTTTAAACAACGAACATTCAATTATTTTCCAACGACTACTTGATCCTTCCACCGTTAATGTGATTTTCAGGTGGTATTTCTTTTGAGACTGTTTAGGACGATATTGCTTATAAGTAATACGGAAAAATTTCTCTAATAAAAGTTTATAAGAAAAAAGAGTGCTTCTTAACAGGAAAGAAATTTATAATGATGGTTTGTTTGATATTGCAGGTACGGACAGCTCAGTGGAATGGTAGAACCGATATTCGGCGTGCTGGGGGCGGTGGCGGTGGGCCTGGCGGAACCGGCGCTGCCCTACGCCCTTGCGTTCGCCGCAGGGGCCATGATCTATGTTGTGGTCGACGATATCATACCGGAGGCAAATACAAAGTAAGTTCAATTTCGTTAATTACGCAGCCCCACAAAAAAAAAGTACATGATCTGGTAATCAGACCCATGTATTTCCATGTATTTTTTCCGCTGAATCCGAATCTGACTTCAGTTTTCGGGAAAATTAAAAAAACAGGTCAAAATTCACAACAAAACGTCATTTACGATCGACGAAAGTTATAAAAAATCAAATTATTTCGTTATAATTTTCCCGAAAACTCAGACCCGTTGGGCCAAATCTGAAGGCAGATTCGGATTCAGCGGAAAAAAATTCATGGAAATACATGGGATACTTTTTTTTTGTGGGGCTGTGTTATGAAAGTTTGCTCAAGAAATTTGATAAAATGTCATTTGATGATTCCTCGATTGGAAATTTTCGTAAACATAAAAACAGACTTGTTAAAAATTGTTTTTTTATTAAATATGAAACTAAACGTTTGGTCGAACAGACTGAATTGTAATAAAATATCAAAAAAGAGGCTTAAGAGCCAACCAATGAGACTAGTTCTAGTGAAATGTGGATGTGTGTGTCGAAATTGAAGTTTTCCTAAAAATTTGACAGTTTTATAATAATTGATACGCCTTATTTTCTATCTGTTGTTACACAGGGACATAAAATAATACTTTATATCAAATTTTGGCTACAGAAAAATTAGAATAACATAAAAAAATTATTTTACATATTTATATATTTTATTTTTACCGGCGCCTTCACCAAATATTAGAATTTTTTATAATCTACATTTTTAAAATTCTCGCTAGCAACATTATGTCATGGTACATTTTTTATAATGTATAAATGGTTGGCTAGTAGTAGGTCTGGAGGAACAAAAATTTACTATCTTCTTGAAAAAAAAAAAAAAAAGAATTGCATTCTGTTGCAATCAATGGACTGACACAGTAGCGCTGGAAATCGCTTTTTTTTTTCAAAATAATGTGGAAAAAATTGTCTCGATAATTTTTTATGTAAGTAATACTCGTACCAAGTGATTTTTATTATCTATATGCCAAAAAAAAGTAAATGTTTTCCTGACAAATGATATACATGGTGATTCACAAATCGTGAGCAAAAATGAAACCTCGTATTGTTTGGTGAATTTTAAGGGGAGTCTTTCCTATAAAGTTTTTTTCTAGGACGCTTCGTTAAAAAGATACAGGGTGTTAAACTTCAAAAAATATTTTTAATTTTTTTAAATAATTTAAAATATAGTAAGTGAAATAATTTGAAATTGGGCGCATGTATTTATGTAAACATTGTCCAAAATCTGAGGGCACTTCCTAAAATTTAGATGTTGCAGTGGCGCAGATACAGGGTATCGGTGGCATATTTTTCTAAATAAAATAGTACGCCACTGCTTTACGGTAACAACCGTGATATTTTCGGATTCGTCTTTCAATTTTCTACAAATTACTACACTCAAATTATTTCACTTACTAGTTTTTTAAATTATTTATTTACAAAAATTAAAAATATTTTTTGAAGTGTAACACTCTGTATCTTTTTAACGAAACGTACTAGATTAAAACTTTATAGGAAAGACTCTCCTTAAAATTCACCAAAGAATACGAAGTTTCATTTTTGGTCACAAAACGTCCAATCCGATCAATACTACTACTCTTTTTTACCCCCAACCTCACAATCTTCGCTTTCATGTGATGATTAATTTTCAAAATGTCAACAGAGCCCAATTGATTAAATTTAATTAAATGAAAAATCCCGTCTTCTCCCAACGAATTACCAATTAGGGTTTTAATGAAGAGGTGCAATTATATATTAATTAATTTTTCGCTAATATAACGAAGTAATAAAACACTGTATTGTTTCCATGACCCCCTTATAACTTGGTTACACGTTTAGCGGTATGCGATAAGCATTAAAACGCAATTTACAAGACAGTCATCGGTGATGTACTGGCATTTTTGGTATAAATCGAATGATTCGTTCATTTGAGAGACCTTAGCCGGTCTTGAAAATCTATAGCTGCGTTTTGCTCATCTCCAATCTAGGCCAGAAAAGCCTAAGCTGGGAAATTACCATTTCGCGACTTTTTATTTCAGCAAGCTGAATTTATTACTATAGATGCTAAATATTATGTACAATAACATAGTTTCCACAATCATAAAAATGGGAAGATTGTTTACAAGGTGGTTAATTGTATAATTTTTACGTAAATTCACGTTTTTCCCTTATAATTTTTTCCGTTCATTTCCACGAGAAAACAGTAAAGTACTTTTTTCCGTTTTCAAAAAACCTGCAATCCAGCTCTCGATTAGATCAAAAGTTATAAACAGAAGAAATTTATTTATGACTTTTGAATTAAACATTTATAAACTGCGTTATTATTGCCAGAACGTTTTGGTATCGCATCCTCTCATTCCTTTTCACTGTCTAATAACTCACACGAAATCTGGAAACGGTATGTTGAATAGTTTAATAAAAGTTATGGCCTTATAAACAAATTAACTAATTATTAGTCTGGACGATCCCGAGGATCTTCCACAATCGCACTTTGTCATTGATTAAACTGTTGGTATCTACAGAGTAGCGCATGGCAAACTCGAGGGATTTCTTTTCCGTTTGTTTACCAGAACCCTGGAATATTTCTTTCACATCCTGCTGGGAAAAATCGTCGTCGCGCAGTTAGCGGTCGCGAATAACGAGACGTACCTACGGTACTTGGGTGGGCCGCCGCAAACCAATGGCCAATTGTTATTGAAGTCGGCTGGCTCTAAAATAAGAACGAGCGTCCGTTTCGTTCCAGGGGCGTCCGAGCGGCGGCTGAAAGCCAGCGGCGCGCGCCACAAAACGCATTCGTATTGGCCGGAAGAAAAAACTGTTAACTTGAAAATGTTCAAGGAATCGGTAACGTAACCCTAAGTATATAAAATAAATGTTCGGTGTCGACCGCTGCGCGCAGGGGTGGTTCGATCGGAGTGATTTTGGTGTCGTTGCGTAGGTTGGATCCTTCCGCGTAGAATAAAGGAGGCAGTGGAGAGAACTTGTAAAACTCTCGACATAGGTGTAGGAACGGCAAATCAAAACAAATAAACCTATGAAATAAAAAATCGTCTTGCAATTTAAAAAAAAAATAATTAAAAAATATCAACAAATTAAGTTCCAATTATTTTTAGCATACTTATTATTTGTTTCTGAATCATCAGTTCTTGTAAAATTTTAAAACTAAATTAGAAATTTGTCCGTTGGCTTGAACTGCATCCCAAAGTACTGTCCATCTGCCTTATCCTCTGTTGTAAACGCCGCACTAGTAGGAGACGTGTTTAACGCTTTCAGTATATAGCAAATAACACTGTTTAACTACTTTATTATAATTGAAATTCCTCCGCTCATTAGAAACGAGTACCGTACATTCTCCAAATACTTCTACCTTGCCCATTAACTCTTGCTGGCATCAAATTCTTGAACGAATTGCCTCTTTTTCACTCAGCAAGACGAAGAAATTGTTATAGTCCAGGGAATCAGGGGTTTCCCCTCGGGATTCTTTCGGATAGAACCGATTGTCATGAAACTTATTTATTTATTTAAAATACTGATCAACAGGCGATGCCAAATAACAGGATATGTTAAGTCTAGTAATAAAATATAAGAAGAAGTTAAAAGAGAGAAAAATTGACTATGAAAAAATAAAATATCGAAAATAACCCCAGGAATCGATAAGGCATTCAGATTTAAGCAAAATGTATCTTTCATTTCGTCTTTCAACAAGAAACTTGTACTTGTACCTACTTATTTTACTTATTAGTAATTCTGATGCCTATGATGCTGTCAGTTTTTAGTATTTGTGACTTGACCTAACCTAGGTTCAAAGAAAATTAAAGTTGCATTTTTCAGTAGTATCAAATCGACTTTACTCGACAGTTTGCAAATTTGCGGTGATCGCGATAACAACAACGTGACTTAGAGATTTTGACCGCAGTCAAACCACGACTTCAATGAATAAAACCTCAAAGTGTCCTGTCATCAGTCGGAAAAGATGCAATATTATTAATTCCTTTAAACGGATTGTTGGTGGCATTTACAGAACGATTATTATCGATAAAATACACTGTTGGTCAAAAATAGCTCAATTTAGCCAAAGAAGGATTCTTCGCTTTGCTCAGACTAAAAAGATTACGGTTAATCTTTGTTTCTAGAGTATCCTACTCTTCTGTTCTCTAGGGTTCTGCGAAGAGAATGTCTTTTTCTATTTTTTTTCGTCATTAGTTTCTTTAGTTTCCGTTATATCCCATTTCCAACAATAGTGAGCTAACAAATTTACGTTCCATCTTCCTTGATGTCGCTTTTCCATTTCTTTGACGTCCTAATGGAACCTTTCGTCCTGTTCTTCGCTAGAGGCCCTAAAGCTGTCTGGAAAGTAATCGAGGTGTGAATCGAGGAATCTTTTTCTTTAATATTTATTGTCCAATGAAACAATTATAATTGTTGAGGGAAATTTGGAGTGATGCTGACCAAGGTAATGTTTTAATATAAAACCGGATTCAGCGTAACGAAGTATTTAATATGTGTCAACATTACAAAAAATCAAAAAAGAAATTATACAGAGATACAAAACTAAAACAAATTTCAAGAATCCTTTTTGAACTGGAGATTTTTCTCAAAAATGTGGCCGAATTCACGAAAGCCTCATTTTCAATCACGGGAAAATTTCGCAAATTCTTTTGACCCTTTTTTGCATTAATTTATATTATAATGCAAAATTTAATTTTACATAAAAATGTTGCACTGCACTGCATGACAAGAGCAGTTTTTTTTGTAAATTGGAAGTTTATAAAACGCTGGAATGGACCTAACCTCAAAAAGAGTTAAGTCACAAGTGAAGGTCGAAGCTAGATGATTTAAAACAAACAATAATATTAAAGTATTTAAAAGCCCAAAAGAGGCCGATGCTCCAATTTTTAACACACTTCTATGTCACCCTGTATATTTTTCGATTTTAGAAAAATACGCTAAATTTCATTATCTTTTCCTCGATTGATGTTTCATACATATTATTACAAAATTTTTCTCAAAAGTAAAATCAGCAAAACATTTTTATAAAGAAATATCATTGGAAAGGAAATTTTTCGCAGATTTCAAAAATTAAAGACTACAGGATCTAATTGAAAATTTGAAAATTATAGGAAAATGTCACAGCCATTGAACTCTATATAAAAAAACTGAAAATTATATGTACAAGAATAAAAACATAAAAAAGCAAGTAAAAACGTTATTGTCTATTTTTTTACCTAATTTTTCGGAAAATACGAGAAATCCCTCAAAATTGTTCAATTTACCATCGTTAAAAAAACAAACAAGAACGTATTTCATTGTTCTCATTCTTTTTAACGATACATTTTAGTAAATCAAACATTTCCTCTTCTAAATCATATTTACTGCTGTTAAGTATGTTACTTACTCCACAAAAAAACAGCCCGTTGTACTTCGCCAAACTGATAAAATATCGGCGTATACTACGTTTCGCTACAAGACCATATTGAGGCCATCAACAGTATTCCCCGCCTGCTGAGAGTTTTGTCACCGCGACAGAAAATAATTGAACATCATTCATGCCAGTCGCCGTTGATTTAGGTTGAACATTCCAGTTATCTCCTCAAATATTTATTTTGTTGTTATCATTCACTTCTTTGACGTCGTAAATCCATTAAGAACTTCGTGGGGCCTGGTAATGAATGAAATTCATCGTTCTAAATATATACATTATGTGTGCTAGTCCGATAACGATATCAGGCTTTGAACTTCGTTCTAAATCGCGATAGATTTAGGTTAATGGTGTGTGATCGTTCGCACAAATGTGTGGCGGATGGCCGATGTACCTCCATCTAAAGTCGTATCATCGTATGTAATAAAGAAATTGGTCACACGAAGTGACATGCGTTCGATGAGGACCGCAAAAGGAACACGAACAGCAAGTCTTGTACCATGCCACAAAGGTCTAAGTCCACCAATTTTGCCATCTTAGCAACGTAATCAGAATGGACGGTATTGCTAATGTACGTGCAATGAAAATTTTCTAGTCAGAAAGTCATAGTTAGAAAAGGCATTTTATTTTGTAAATGTTTAAATGCATTTTATACAGAAATGACTTAGAAGTCGAATTTTGAAGGCTTAAATTTTCAAAACTTCTGTATTTTCTGTGTAGCAATTGTTTGTTGTTGTAACTACACGAACGAATTTCATGGACGCTCATAAGTTGCGTTGCAACATTCGAAGAAATACTGCATTACCTATAATTAATAATCTTGGAGTTACATGTGCTGTCAGTAATTAAAAAAATGCCTTACCATTAGCGATGTCGCAAAATGAATTTATCGAGAGGTAATTAACAATTCATTGTTATAGAAACGAATGTACGCCTGTTATCGGTGGCATTAGTAATATTTTTTATATCAAGGATTGTAAAACTTGCCTAAATTTATTCCTATGTTCCTATAAAATACTTCGAATTCCAACAGACACATTAAAAATCCACATACTCGTATTACGTTACCCGAAAAAGTTTGAACCTTCTATCGTTCAATCTGCCTCAAGGAGATTGTTCGATAGGAGGTATTCGCCCTTGAAAGGATGTGGCGTGCTTAGTCACCTTTATATTTCAGACACTTTTTTCATGGAATAACTGTTCATTCTCATTCGAAAGCCCTGCACGTCTCAAGCACAGTAACTGCACACATATAAATTCTACGATCGATGATTTCGTTCGAAAACTAAGAATTCTTACTAACAAAATTTCCTGTGAATTGCTATCCGGTAAGGGGGACGTCGAATCGAATTCCCAGAGAAGTCATTTTGTCACAATACTCTGTTTTATCAAATATATGTATCATGAAACCAAGAAGTTAAAGCATGAAGGAGAAAAGTTGGAAGGCAAAGCAACCGTCTCTAATACAAGTGACTCAAGAAACTTCAACAATATCAGGTCCAAAAACCAAACAGCCACTACGACTAATAACCAGTGAAGCTGGATCAGCTGATCAGACGTAGTGGAGAAGCCACTCCATGATGTCGAAAGATGCAGAAGTTTTTATTTCCGAGATCAAGACAATTCATGTCAAGACGACAAATGCAACAATTTGCAGAAAAACATGATTTATTCATAAAATTTCATTAATATAGTTAACATAATAGCCAAAATATAATGTGTAAAGTTGAATGATATGTATGATAAACAGGTGTGCATGGGGAACCGCGTAAATTTACACGTGCATATCATCTGATCTGTGCCCGTCGCATCGATATCTAGCGGATCATAAAGTGCCGGTAATAAAAATGTCGCATACCTGCGTTTCATTTCCAAAGTCTATGCAAGGATCCGGCTGCGGTACCTTTAAGAAGCCATTTGTTTTTATTGAGGTGCAGTAAGAACGATATATGTAGTATACAGCGCACACACAAAAATTAAAATTACACAAGAAATAATATAGGCTGGTATCCACAATGATACCAATGGTGCCATATCCTCAAGAACTGTGTTATTGTCAGCGTTTCAGTTCCATATTACCCTTCGTATTAAACATTACTTTCATGCATAAATTTTACGTCTATTTATAAGACAAATATATTAGCGACATTCCTCTGATATATATTTGAAGTCGTTGCAGAAAAATTCGTTACCTTGTTTCTGCGAATTCCAAGTTATATTAATTAAATTAGTTTTATTCTCATACGTAACAGAACCGGTATGATAATGGTTTTGTAGTAATTCTAAATATCGTAATAAGCGTTTCTTTTATTTCTATCAAAAGGTTTCCCATTGTCGTTGAGCAAACGCAGTGGGTAAGTTCCCAGGGAACTAAAAAATTTTAGTATATGATTTTCAGAATAATTCCCACATTCACCGGTCTTGGAATTTAAAGAAATGTCCCGAATTTTAATCACAAAAATTGTGCATATCAAATTTCGTTTAAATATCTTCATTTGTCCAGAAGATACACTAATGGAAAAAATTAAGGGATAAAAAAAATCTAAATTTTCGGAGATTTTTGAAATGGCTGTATCTTTGATAAAAATGGTCGTATTGGAGTAAAAAAAAAGCAATTTGAAGCTCGAAGTTTCTAATTTTTGAATCTTGCAAAAAAGAATGTTTCAAGTAACACGTATCGCGCAATCTTAATGAATATCATGAAAAAAAATTTTTCGAAATTTTTTTCGATTTTATTTTTGGTGTACGGACTTGAAAAAAAAAGGTTTACAACTTAACCACCTTATGGATTAGACAGGTTGTTCATTTAGCTTCAATTCCTTTTTTTCTTGGTCTCGATACGACCATTTCTCGCTGAGCTATCGGACTTGAATGAAAATGGATCATTTTCTCTTTGTTCATCGATATCTCAGAAACCATTGGTTGCACAGAAAATCGACGGTGGCTTTCAGAAACTTGAATGAATTCTCTACAAGGTCCTGGCACGGTTTTTTAGAAAAAAAAAATTTTTTTATCCTTAACATAACTTTAATAAAAAATAGGACTTTTAGGGGTCTTCTAGAAAATCACGTGCCACATGGAGAATATTGGGAAAATGACTAATGTTAAGTGTGCCTTTTGCAGGTCATTGTACCCTTAAAAGCCCTACAGAATTTCAATTCGATCCATCAAGCCGTTTTTTGTTTCATTCGATTGAATTTTTTAAAAAATTAAAGGATCACGTTTTTTGCTTTTAAATGCTCATAATTTGTAAAAAATGAAAAAAAACTTTTTTCTTGATTTTTTTTACATTCTTATTGCAGACAGCGTTTGAAATTATGAAAAAAAAAAAATTTTTTTTTTAATTTATTTGAACCCATATTCAGAAATTTCGCAAAATCGCCGGCGTTACCCAAAGCGTACCACATGGAGGTTGCACAGTCGGATTTACGCTTCTTTTACACACGTGCGAAAAGCGTTTGAAGTTATGACAAAAAAAAATTCTTTTTTTGAAAATTTGTTCGAAAAATTTTTTCGTTGGATTCACTCCAGAAAATTTATCTCGGTAATCCCCAAGCATTTTCGACACGATTCCCCTACTTCATTTCGTGATTATGCTTACCGAATTTTAATTAAATTTAAAAAAGTTGACCCCTAACCGAATATTGACCACGATCTACACTCTTTTCAGAGATTATTGCTGCGATACTTCTGAATTCATAAAAACTTTTCCGAATTTACAGAACACTAAAACAAATAGACCAAGAAAAAAAGAAATTGAAGCTAAATGAACAACCTATCTAATCCATAAGGTGGTTAAGTTGTAAACATTTTTTCAAGTCCGTACACCAAAAAAAAAATCGAAAAAAAATTTCGAAAAATTTTTTTTCATGATATTCATTAAGATTGCGCGATACGTGTTACTTGAAACATTTTTTTTTGCAAGATTCAAAAATTAGGAACTTCAAGCTTCAAATTGCTTTTTTTTATTCCAATACGACAATTTTTATCAAAGATACAGCCATTTGAATAATCGCCGAAAATTTAGATTTTTTTTTTGATCCCTTAATGTTTTCCATTAGTGTATTTAGAGATATAACTTTCTTTTACACTAACATCATGAAAGTTTATGCAAATTTTGGATCCCTGGATTTTCCTGGTTAAAATTCTGGACCCCTTACATGCATATTTTTTTTATTTCATTGATTTTCGTTCGAATATAAAATGTGCCTTTTATTTTTCAGCGATAACGGAAAACTGGCCACTTGGGGTGCCATCTTGGGGTTCTTGGTGATGATGACACTGGACGTGGGTCTTGGGTAGTATGAAATGCTGTCCCTAGATCAATTTTCCCAGTCGATATTATTTTACAAATTTGATTTCATTAGGCGAATTGTTATTATTTAACTTAGTTGATAACGTGCAATGATTTTATTTAATTTAACTAAAAAATAATCCATTAGTGGGCGTTCATATGAGGAGGCTACTTTGGTAAGGTTTTTTTAACGCTTTATTATACATTAAGTATATTTTTCTTCGTTATACATATCATATGTAGGCATAAAAACGTTTAGCCGTACGTGTTCTACAGAAAAACAGTGATATCTTTTTATTAATTGACCAAATCCAGTTTCCTTCTTTTCCTTCTGATCTTGACTCAGTACAAACAAACTGTGCATCGCACAATATAAATTGGTTTTCTTAAACCTAAGAATTTCAAAACACTGTTGAAACAATACACATGACTGGAAGGATATGAATAGTCTTAAAAAGGCAAAATTATTTTTTTGCCATATATTATGGCGATTTTACTATTTACGATTCATATCAATTTGTACATAATTGTAGATATTGTGATGGTTTTTCCTTCCAGTAGCATAACTTTATGAATCTCCCACTAATCAACGACCTATTTGTAGGTGTCAACACTTAACCGCCTGCAATTTGACCAGCTAAACGTTTTTATTCGAAGGTCCTTTTTAGAATAACATATGGACGACATAATTTTCTAAATTTTTTTTATTCTCTCGAATTGTATCCATTACCGGTCTGTGCAAGAAATATGAATACTTCTTGGGGTTATTGCTTGGGGTGGGCCCAAGCTGCAAGCTGTATGGAGGCCTCAAAAAAATTGATCTTTTTCTTTCTTTCTGTAATTAACACACTTTCTAGCTTCGACCTTCGTAAAACTTCAGGTTTCGGGTGGTTAGCGTTGATGCCTGTAACTAGCATAGTATTTATTTTAATATATGAACTTGCAGTTAAGTAGTTGTACTTAAGTGTTCCTATTCACTTAATTTTCGTGTCGCGTGGTTAAATTTGGGTGCAATCGTGGGTCCGTACTTAGGGTTCTACCGATTTTTTTTTTTGTTGTACCGGTCGAGCCAATTTTATTAGCAACTACTGCTGTGATAGTAACTGTAATTGTAAATTTACTTTTTTGAAGAAAACAAGCGAGTACCTCTGAATAAAATTTTTACCTATTTATATGCGTTTTGTTGTGGACCCTTTCCTTGTATCCCTCCACAAAAAAAGTCCTGGAAGCGAAGATACGAGGCATATCCACAAAATAAGAGTACTGAGGCTGTGATGGTCTGTGGTTTTTGTTTTCGACAAATTTGGCAACGCTGCGTTCAAGGCCAAAGTTTGCGAGCAGAACGCGCCTTCATTTGTCTCAGTCTGTCTCAGTTGAGAAGTGTTGTTGTAGTGGCGTGTTGAACTGAGTGCCGCTATTTCGAATCCAATCAGCTGCGAGGATTTTTTAAATCGAGTGTGAACCATCAGCCTCAACACGAAAGATTCGGTATTTAAAAATAAAATCAATATTTTTGTAATTTTGATTAAAAATTAGAAGTAGAAAAAAACAAAAAGGTAGGTATTTAAGAATAGAGGTTAGGGGCTTCAAAAATAAAACTATATAAGTTCCAGAAAATAATTTTCAAGGACTTTTATTCTTTGGTTTGGAACATATACATTCTATGAATTTCTAGCACAAGTTTATTGAGTTTGACGTTGGGTTTTGAAGGGTTTGGGATTAGGTTTTTATGGACTTAGCACAGGTTCGAGACATCAGAAATACAAAATATTAGCTCCAAAATAGAGTTTTCAAGGAGTCGCATTCTTTGGTTTGGGAAATATCCTTCGTTTGATTTTCTAGCTCAGTTTTCTTGGATTTGAGGTTAGGTATTTAAGAATAGAGGTTAGGGGCTTCAAAAATAAAAATATATAAGTTCCAGAAAATAGTTTTCAAGGACTTTTATTCTTTGGTGTGAAACATCATTCTATGAATTTCCAGCTCAAGTTTATAGAATTTGAAGTTGGGTTTTGAAGGGTTTAGGATTAGGTTTTTATGGACTTAGCACAGGTTCGAGGCATCAGAAATACAAAATATTAGCTCTGGAATAGAGTTTTCAAGAAGTCGCATTCGTTGGTTTGGGAAATATCCCTCGTTTGATTTTCTAGCTCAGATTTCTTGGATTTAAGCTAAGGTATTTAAGAATAGAGGTTAGGGGCTTCAAAAATTAAAAAAGTCCCTGAAAATAGTTTTCAAGGACTTTTATTCTTTGGTGTGGAACATATACATTCTACAAATTTTCAGCTCAAGTTTATAGAATTTAAAGTTGGGTTTTTAGGGTTTGGGGTTAGGTTTTTATGGACTTATGGCACAGGTTTGAGGCATCAGAAATAAAAAATATTAGCTCCAGAATCGAGTTTTCAAGGAGTCGCATTCTTTGGTTTGGGAAATATCCTTCGTTTGATTTTCTAGCTCAGATTTCTTGGATTTGAGGTTAGGTATTTAATAATAGAGGTTAGGGGCTTCAAAAATAAAAATATATAAATTCCAGAAAATAGTTTTCAAGGACTTTTATTCTTTAGTTTGGAACAAGTACATTCTATGAATTTCCAGTTCAAGTTTATAGAATTTGAAGTTGGGTTTTTAGGGTTCGGGGTTAAGCTTTGAAGGGTTTCTATGGATGTAAGTTTATTGCTTTAGAGTTAAGAAATGTAAGCTCAAAAATATAGTTATTAGGTAATAATTATACCCATAGATTTAGAAAAGAGTCAGGGTATTACTTTGAGGTTATGTTTGATGAATTTGAGGTTAAGTTTTGGGTTCAAGTTTAAGGTTGAAAAGTATTGTGAAGGTACATGATTATTTTCGTTGTGTAATCAACCTCAGATATGAAATTTTTCATTTTTTCGCCCTAACCTAAAAAAAGTTATGTCCTAAAATGTCACCGAGTCAAATCAAATTTCAACAGAATACGTTTTGCTTCACACAAAAACAAGCCCATCGGAAAAGATCGACTCGCTGTGTATATATTCCGTCAACTCTTGAATTCATTGCAGCTTCTGTTGGACTATCTGATATGCGCAAATAAATGTACTCTGGATTCTTAACTTGCATTTCAAACTATAAAAGTATTTTGTTGTTTCAATACGAAGTGCGGCAACAGTGAATCATGTTTTCAGAATAATACGCACATACATAACAGTACATACAGCACGTTATAAATTTAACCTTGTGTTACTCCATAAAAACAAGTGAATCGGCTTCCATTTATTTTGAAAATATACTAGAACTGGACATAAACAAGCGCCATGACGCCATGCTTGCGGTCGTGTGTGCAACGCGTGCGCTTCTAAAAATCCGTAATAATCAGGATTTAATTGCATGTAGTGCCGCTACTTGGAACAATTTTTTCGATCCGGTTTGTTGAGAAATACGATTCTTGTGTTTCTAGCAGAAGCTTTGTATCTTTTACGATACTCGGACTTCTATTCATAAAAATAACGCCAGAAATGCAGTTGGTAAAATCCGGAAACGACTTTAAAAGTTTATTTATTTTTAAATAAAATAGTGGTTGGTTGTAAAATGCATTTCAGGTGTTGTAAGTGCTGTGTTATGTAAGAATATTAAGGAATTTAGAATTTTAACTGCTGGAAAGTTGTTTCACAGTTAAAACTGCTGAACATTCATATTGCGAATACAACAGAGAGATTTATATGACCTATAGAGATATCTACTCTCATTTGTTGTTCCTGTGGTTTTCCGTCGACATTGTATTGGTAGAATAACAGGTGGAAGGAAAATCAATTAAATCTATTACCATTCACACAATATAGGACGAAGACGAGCGTGTATTATTTGAATAATTTTCTAATTATATAAATAGTTATAATTAAGGTCATCTTGCACACAGGTGGTGGAAATATGTGTCCTCTCTGCATAATTTAGTAATTAAGCGATTATTTTTAATTAATTGTCCACTGAATATTACATAAACACTGCTTTCGAAACTGCATCCAGTTTCTAGGTGAAATGGGTGCCTCAAAAACTCGCCGACAGATTACTCAGGACTTATCTCGACGAAGATGTGGTTAACGGTGATAAGTTCCGCTTTCTGGAAAATGAAATTAAATGTTTTAAATGTTCACTATACCTCAGAAAAAAACGCAAACCTATATAGGTACCTACCTAATACCACTGTATATGAAGTTCAATTCTCTAAATAATTTTTCCTGTGAACTATAGCGAAATTTGGTGGCTTTTTCTTTTAATCTGCTTGTTTTCCCTCTTTTCAACATTTTTGCAATCCGACGTTTCGTCTTCGAGGGGCCATCATCGGATTAATTTTTTTAAATACGTCGCTGCTATTTTATGACAAAATCTAAAGTCAACAGTTTTTAGCTTCTTTTAGCTATAATTTAAAATTTTTCCTGAGTACGGCTCTGAACGCTTTCAAAATATCTATTGGATGAAGTCATAACAGTATAAAAGTCAATACCGCACAGAATATCCAACAATTTTTTACTACTGTTAGCAATACTAATTAGAAATAATAAAATATTTCATAAATGCGTATAAATTTTTTATTTGGTACATCTTTTTAAATTATGAATTAAAAAAAATTGTTGGATATTTCGTGCTGTATTGACTTTTATTCTCTCCTCTCTTTCTCTCCTCCAATAGATACAGGTATTTTGAAAGCGTTCAGAGCCGTACTCAGGAAAAATTTTTAATAATAGCTAAAAACCTTTTTCTATAATATCTTCTAAATATCATCTAATACAGAATTAAAAACGACCTAGATTTTGTCATAAAAATAGCAGCGATATATTTAAAAAATAAAATTAATCTGATGATGGCCCGTCGAAGACGAAACGTCGGATTGCAAAAATGTTGACGCCATTGGATAGAGCGAAACAAGTGGCAATGTAAATATGCAACAGTAGACTTTGCAGTTAATACTTTGTATTGCTGACATCTCAAATCATCCATTTGAGATCATTTATCATTTGTGTATTTGAAATTCGACTTAGATGTTTATAGCAATACTGTACAAAAATAAAGTTTTGGGTCAAACAATGAGACAAAGTTTTTTTTTTAATTTTTTCCGTAGAATTGAATGGTGTAATCAGTTTTTCAATGTTTTTTTTAATTTAAACAAATTATCAACAATAACTGAAAAATTCATTGTTGCAAGTCATTGTTTATTTTTTTTGCATTTTTGAGCATGTTTTTGAAATGTTATTACAAATTTTTTTATTTCGCCAAAAAGTATATGCCAAAACGAAAAAAATGATTACCGGCAGAACTCTGTACCAAGTAGAATTTTTTTTGTGTTTCAGGCCGAAAAAAAATTAATATCAGAAACTTCTTGATTTTTTTATCTAAAAAAATTTGAGGTTATTTAAGACAGAGAAAGGTATATTTTCACGAAGTGTCGTCAAAATTAAATTATTTTTGTGGAAATGAGAAATAAAAATCGAAAAATCATGTTTTTCGCATTTTTCTCGGAAATTTTGAGGTTATGTTATAAAATGAGCTCTACAAAAGTTGTAGATTTTTTCATGATCTACAACTTTTGTATTGGATACTTTTTTGTTTCAACTTTCGCCAGAAATCCCAATGATACAATTTTTCATAACTTTTCAACCCCCCAAATCAACCCTGCGCCGCCCCTGCTCACGCTTTTATTTTATTAGGTTTATTATAAGCCCTTTTACCATTTCCACTTATAAAAGTCCAGGTAACAATTTTTTTTTCTCCAAGGTAATTTGGTTGGACTATCTTACTTTTTTAAGTATTTAACTGCTTACATTTTTATAAAAGCATATCAGTAGGTCAACTGACATACCTCAGCACTGAGACGTAAGTGAAGATTCTTATAGGAGAAGAAATTGTTTAAATAAACCATTTGAATTTATTTAAGCCGCGTTGGGTTTCACTAGACACGTTCTAAATTCTTCAACACATTATAACAGTAGTCATAATTGTACGGACATTTAGTCCGCTTACAATGCGCGCTGCTGCCTTAGGAACCAGTTAAATTCTACGAAGATCGGAATATTTTTCAGATGAATTTACTGAGAGGGCGCTACAAGAATATGTATTCGAGTGGAATATTCGGAATAAGTTTGTCACAACAGCGGTATATAAACAGTGAGAGGTAGACACAACAAAATAATTCTGACCTAGTTACGGATAGTGGAGCATTTCAAGCATTCGAAATCGATTTAAAAATACATAAAAACAGGAAACATTGAACCGAATTGCGCTTTTTATAACCAGTCGTCTGCGTGTGGGGGGGAGACGCTAGAGGTTAGACAAGGGGTTTTGCGCCTGAAAACGTTACGATGTGAAAAAATATCTACACACTAATTATTTATTAACACACAAAAAAAATACTGGAGTGCGAAGATGCAGCGTGCGGTAGTGCTACTCATTTTGATGCCATCAACACACTCTTAGTCAAAGGCTGGCCATTTTAATTAATAGAATATCAAAAAACTCCAAACCCAAAAATCATTTCCGACGTATTTTGATGAGCGTAGTCAGAATTTATGCACAGCCCGCCAATATCTTGTAAAATTTATATTTAGAGTGAAAACGGACCCAAAAACTGCTCTATCATAGTTCGAAATTGATTTTGCTCTACATAATATCTGAACATATCTTTATTATTCACTTCGGCGATATAGCTTGTTGATTACTAGGAAACGGAATAGGAAAACAACGTCATATCACTCTAGGGCGAGATAAGGGGACCTAAATATTATCGCCCGCATTTTGACTTTACTTTGTATCCTTTTCTGTAAGGGTAGAATAGTAAATGTGCCTTGTATCAATGAAGCAGACAAATGAAAGTACAAAGTTTATTAACATTAATATATACAGGGTAGCCCATCGAAAACGTACCGCGAGGCATTACAGGGTAGTAATGAACTTTTCGGCGAAATCCAAAAACAGGTAAAGTTTGCTTCTGAGGGGGACAACTTTTGGCGCAAAAAGCATAGCAAAATCTTCAACCCCCTAAGTGGGGGTGCCATCCCCCAAATTTTTTTAAATGGGAATGGGGGTCAAGTGGGGGGTCATTAGAAAGGGCTTTTAATTCTCTATACATCGATTCTTACTTTTTGAAAATCGATCCATTATTTTAGAAAATATGCAGCTTTGAAAATACGAACAATATTTTTGACGAGAAATGCGAAAATCGATTTAATTTTACTTCAAAACTTACGGTATTAGCTTGGTAAATTCCTTCAAAAGAATTCGCTGTTTTTTTTTTTGATTTGCGAATTCTTTAGCCTGATTTTGGTGAGCAAAAAATTGTCCGCTTTTTGTTTCGTATTTAGATAGGCCACAAGAAGTTGCTAGATAACTGTCTTGTGACTTGTAGTTGAAGAGTACCAATACTGCCGAGTCTTTTAAATTGATTAATTATGGTGTACTCAATTCCAGAAAGAGTAGAAATTATTGAGCTTTTTTTCAAAAACAATGAATGCGGAAATCGGGTCGCCGAACTGTTCAACCAACGGCATCCTGAGAAACATGCGTCTGGAAAAATTGTTCGCGAATTGGTGGCCAAATTTCGCGAAACTGGCTCCGTTCATAACAAAAAGAGGCAGGTTGAAAATCCGGTACTAAATGAACCTACGGAAATAGCGGTATTGGGGCAAGTGGCAATGGATAGTACGCTGAGTACAATGCAATTGGCTACTGCGACAGGAGTGAGTCGTACAAGTGTCCAACGAATATTAAAAAAATACAAATTCCATCCTTATAAGATTCGGCTAGTGCAAGAGCTAAATGAAGACGATTTTGATCGTCGTTTGCAATTTTGCGAAATAATGACTGAACGAGCGATAAACGATAATTTCCTCTTTAATGTGTGTTTTTCGGACGAGTGTACGTTCTTCTTGAATGGTTTAGTGAATCGCCATAATTGTCGTTACTGGGCTGATACCAATCCAAGGATTTTCCATGAGACACACTCCCAACACCCCCAGAAGTTGAATGTATGGGCAGGTATTTTTGGAAATTCCATTGTAGGTCCTTTTTTCCTTCCTGGAAATTTGACAGGCGATATGTACTTGGATTTACTACAAAATGTCATCGACCCAGCTCTAACAAATATCATAGAGGACGACCCTGCTTACAATGAACACGAACTGATTTTCCAGCAAGACGGAGCTCCTCCACATTACTCGCTCAATGTGCGCAATTACCTAAATGAGACGTTTCCAGGACGCTGGATAGGACGAAGAGGTGCAATTGAGTGGCCCCCTCGGTCACCCGACTTAAATCCTTTAGATTTCTTTCTCTGGGGGCACATTAAAAGCAAAGTTTACAGCACTCCACCTGATACCTTGGAAGATCTGCGAGGACGAATCATTAATGTATGTCGCGAAGTAACACCGCAAGTGCTCCAGAATGTTCGACAACGGTTTGAAGACAACCTGTATCATTGTATGCAAGTTGGCGGACAACATTTTCAGCATTTACTTGACTAATACCGTAAGTTTTGAAGTAAAATTAAATCGATTTTCGCATTTCTCGTCAAAAATATTGTTCGTATTTTCAAAGCTGCATATTTTCTAAAATAATGAATCGATTTTCAAAAAGTAAGAATCGATGTATAGAGAATTAAAAGCCCTTTCTAATGACCCCCCACTTGACCCCCATTCCCATTTGAAAAAATTTAGGGGATAGCACCCCCACTTAGGGGGTTGAAGATTTTGGTATGCTTTTTGAGCCAAAAGTTGTCCCCCTCAGAAACAAATTTGACCTGTTTTTGGATTTTGCTGAAAAGTTCTTTACTACCCTGTAATGCCTTGCGGTACGTTTTCGATGGGCTACCCTGTATAACAATAATTTGCTTTAAATTAATAACAAAAGTCATTTACAACCGTCTTTAAAGACGAAAGTACAATTTGAGAAGGAACCTTTAACAGTAACACCATAAAACTTCCTAAATTTTCTTTGGCATCGAATAAATGTTGTTCATTTTGCCTCGCAATCAATTCAAAAAAATTATCATCACTAGTTCTTTCGACTCCTGCTGTTAAATGAGATATTTTGTTCTTGGAAGTTTTGCTATCTTCTACATATCCTGATGCTACACTATCACTCTTCCATTTTCCATGTCTTTTCAATGTTATCATATTTGCACCTGTAGCTACGAGAAGAGTTGCTTATGTACGACGCAAATAATCACCTGTGTACATTTTAGCACCTGCGTAGCCGAGATATTTTGCAGTCCTATTTGGAGAGAGAGAGTGCATTTGATTTTCTTCCACAATAGTACAAGATTTTGGTACTCCGGTTTTTGTATCGTTAATTTTTACCACAACAACGATTCCTTTGTCATCTATATCATCTATCTGTCTCCTCAGAATCGAATATCAAACTTCAAACTATCAAAATCAACAAATTATCGGCTGTCATAGGTACATCTTGGATACATATTTTATATATTGAAAAACTATTTTCATTCTCATTTACAATGAATTATTAAATTTAAGATAAATATAAAATCAGATGTCTAAGTAAAAATGAAACGTTATGTGCACTACGGGAAATAATATTTATGGATTATTACCGACATCAAAATGCGCAGCTCTACTGAAGTCTACGTCTTTGCACTCTCGAGTTTTTTTGTGTTAAAGTTGACAATAACTGCCGAATTTGAATTACCTTCCACCTAACGTTTTATAGTAGTAGTTTCCCTTTAAATAAATATGTATCAGGAAATGAGAATTACAAATATAATTTCACTAGGACGTAGTACAGACATGAACGCTACAAAATATTTAATAAGCAATTCCTGTGTCTTTACATATGCATGATACTTACACGTGATGAATGATTATGACCAGGACGACTCCGGATGTCTTCAATCGAACGACTGCATTGTTATTGCTGTCACGTTGATTTTCGTTCATTATTGTAAATAATTGTAAGCCAAAAGTCGAAAGTGCCTCGCAAAACACGCTCGAGATGCTTTTGTGGTTTGGAAGATGACAGTGGTTAGAATTTTCAGTATACCGGTGAAAATCTGAAAAATAAAATGATACTTTAAACGTGTTTTCTTTATTTGGTGGATAGTTTGTCTTTGTGAAAAAAAAAATCATAGTGATTGATTTTTGCACAAGGATATTGAGCGAAAACACATTTATTTTACTTCATTTTTATAAAATTCCGGATAAATATGCGACGCGTAATGAATTTTTAGTAATACTTTATACATTCCGAGTGTTTTTGAAAGTGTGGTTTAATTTTAGCAGCTGCTTATTTATATCAAAATGAAGCAGGATGATTAATGTACATTTATAATTATAATTTACAATTTAGAATATTAAAATATTTATCAAAATAATGTCTAATGAGAAATGACATAATTCCTGTTAATTTACACCCAAAAAGTATTTAGCTGATAACAGTGACAACTTACAGAAGAGTTACTTGTGACAACTGGCATAACAGCAGCACACTTAGTTTTTCTTTGATTGATTGCAATCATATACGGTGTGAGGTGAATGGTAATACATTTTATTTTTTTATTAGTAAACGAAAAGTTTTAAAGGAAAATTGCTAGAGAGGTAAAAGTTTCTAAAAGAACCAGTTTATCTAATGCGTATTTTTTGGATATCGAGTTTTTACGAGATATAAAAGTTATGGCAAAAAATGGCCTGAGGGGTGGTTATTTCAACCCCTTTCGAGGGGTTAAAATTTTCGAAAAATAGTTGGTAACTTGCATCTGTATTAGTAAACAACCTGTAAAAAATTTGTTATTTGTACCTCGTTCGGTTTTCAAATTACAGCCAATTTTCATAATTTTTTTGGAAACTTTGATGGCCCATATCTCTTTAGGGGTGAACATTTTACTAAGGCGATTTTTTGCAGATCGTGTTCTTTTGAAATGTAGATTCACTGGTATCATTTATGCTACTCCATTCAAAAATTCCCTGTATACAAGTGTTGTTGGATAAATTATATTTTTGCAATGAATTTTATTACATTGGTCAGGAACTTCTACATCCAGCATCTGCATGTCTAATGCTGCACCTGTACCGTCCGTAGCTGTACGTCTACTAACCCACCAAACAAAAAAAAGGGTTTGGCGTCGCGAGAGGGCAGCACCATTAGGAGCGCAGGCTATTGGAAGGACTCCATTACCGCGGATAGGTTATCTTCGCTGTTTCGATACCAGCCTTCGTTAAATGCAATTTATAACGAATATATCGTTTCTGTCTTCCGGTTCCGGCGTGACGTATTTCCGCGGTACTTCCGGGTGTACCAATGCCGTGTTCATTCATGCCGAATACAATGGCATATTCGCGAAGCCACTTCCTTCGGTGGTGCAGATAACAGTTGCAGCAGATAAACAAATCCCTTCGACGCAACCGCTCTCCATTCATTCATGTTTTTAATAAACCCGGTGACATTGATTGCAGCCTCAATGGAGCGAATTCCCCGTTCGGATATTATGCAACTCGGTACTATTTTTAGACCGAAAATTATAGAGTACGTGTTTATCATTGAGTTTTTTTCGCGATAGCATTTTCAGCATTGAGCATTTCGAAAGGTGCCATTGGCGTCCGGAGGTGCCACAGTGGAGCGCATTGATCCAAACGACACGAAGCGCTGAGGAAATCGACATTGTACAGGGTGTCACAAACTCGATAGTATGAGGATACAAAAAATTTAAATAAAATTTAGGACAAGTGGTGTTGAATGGGATGAGGAAAGCTTCAATTTCAATCGAAAGTATTTTCTTTAGGATCTGACAGAAACGACTAATGACGCCATCAATTATGTTTTTTCCAGAAACATACCCAAATTTTTTTTCTGTTAAAAAGCTCTCTTTTTTCTAATAAACTTTTATTACAGAAATGTTTCTTTATTACTTCCCGTGTAAGAGTTATAACCAATATCGTCCTAATATACAGGGTGTTTCAGGATTAAGTCGACAAACTTTAAGGAGATATTCCTCATAAAAAAAATAAGAATTCAGTCTTCAGTGTACTTTCAAGTTTTTGTACATTTTGAAAAAGCATGTTTACGGATCAAGAAAGAGTTTTTGCTACCATAATAAGATGGGCTTACTATAAATAAATAAATAATTAACAAAAACTTCTTTAAATACTAGTAGGTTCTTTGAGCAAAACGTTGTCCTTATATGTTTAAGTGTCTTATAAATTAGTTATATTTTTAGTAAGTACTGTTTTATTGTCTTATTTTTTTAAAATAATTTTAAAAATGACAACTATTATTAATATCTGCTTCAGGTCAAGGCACTAGCACATCTTGAATACGATTTGCCTCGAATATACCTAAATCTAAAATTTCGCAGATCTTATCGAACCGAGATGTACGAAATTTATAGGTACAACTCCTCCATCGGTAAGACAGATTTATGTTACCATAATTTGTGCATATAATCGTCTAATCAAACACCTGTTGCTCCGTGTTGCATTACCTAGGACGAAAAAAACTTATTTCGTATTCCCTAATAAAAAAGTTAATATGAATTTCTCTTAATCGATTCAGCAAAGGAGCATATAAAATTCGAACACCTGCCAGAGCGAGCACAGTTTTTGTGTGCCTTTGTTTTGTATAATAAACGCCAACGACAGGGACTGGTAACTTTGACAGCTCATTGATTAATTTTATTTAATCATCGGATTTTTTATGGAAGTATTAATCACCGCTTTGGGAGGCGTAGTCTACAAATCTTTTGTAGGAAGAGAGATAATCTTAACAGTAGAGGAAGGATAGTATTATTTGCGTGTTATTGTGTTATTATTTTTACCACTGTTAGTTGCTGTTGACTGCAAATATATGAAATTCTAGAAGAAATTAAATTTGCATGCAACTTATTGTATTGTATCGTATGTAATAATAATGTAGATTTATTGCAAATTTGTTGTTAGGCCATGGGTCATCTTGGTCTGCTAGAACACCAGACCTGAGTCCACTCGTTTATTATTTTCGGATGCACTAAAGCGTTTTGTGAACGACACTCGTATTATTGACTTTTCAAACTGAATTCATGAACGCGACAGGATTCAACGAAAACCGGAAACGATATTACACTGTACGACGTCCAGAGCTTAGTCTATTAACCACCAAGAGTTTAAAATTCGTTGTAAATCATGTGCGTTAAATTTATGGGACAATCAAGTGATATACGTGCAAATCAGAAACAATGACATTCATAAAAATGATAAACATGAAAGGTCCAAGGACAGAACCCTGCGGCTCTCCCGAAATCTGCACACATAAAAAATATTCATATATACACTCACGATAATGAGGAATTTTCAATTAAATGACACTCACGTGACAAGTCCTCGGTATGCAGAAAAGGGAGAGCGTAAGCGATGTTTATTATGATATTATTTCTGCTTTTTTGCCGCTGCACCTTTACTTTGGATTGGAACAAGTGAATCATACGTACATTTCAGGGACACCTCGATCCCTTTGATTCTACCGTCATAGTTATTTTCTATAAGATACACCCACGAGATACTCTTACATATAAATTTTATTAATGGCCCCGGTGATTCACGTCGTTGTAGAATTATGACTTAAATAGTTGATGTTTTAAAATATTCACTATTAAAATAAATTGCCTGAAATACCACACCTCGCTTCTGTACCATCTTGATTTACAAGGAGGAAAGAGGACAAGGTTATATATAATTCAGCTTGTCTTCGTGGCGTGGTCAAAACGGTGAGAAACGGATAAAAGTGCCATCTATGAGGGATTCTAATTGAACGGAAATATATTGAAATATAATTTCAATGTGATTTGAATTTTATTTTTTAATTAAGCTGTAAATTGTTCCATACAAACCTCTACTATCTTTTATGTCATACCTTGTACTTTCTTATCACTCGCCAGCTGTTAGTAGACATTTGTTACATATCAGACAACATCAGAAAACCTCAGGAGTCGATTCTATATTTACACACAAACTATTACAATGCAATATACTTTGGAATGAATAGAGAGTTTGAAATTCAATAAAGTGTTTATTCAAAAATTTGTTATATGACATTATACTTGAAAACTTTATAAACTTAAATTAGGAATACCGTTTTATATGTAATAATTTTTCCACAACAAAGAATATTTTAATAACAAAATTTGTTTCGACTCGGTTTACAAACAATATAAGGAATAATTATATAAAAAAAATAACCATTAACACACTTTATTTGATCTATATACGTCTCCTTATATTATCTCTTATATCTACACGGGAACGAAAATAATTCAGACTAAAGTAAAATGGCTGTTCATTTGACAAATTTTGTCAGAGCTCGTGAAAGTAGTGAAATATTTAAGTTACAAGTGATTGGATTATGCTTATTTCTGTACAGGCAAGTCCTGTGGTTTGTTATTTATACTTTGCAAAGATTTGATGCGATAGAAAGCATGATTTATTGGTGATAGCTAACAATATTATAGTGCACTGTGTTTTAGGTACCTGTTACGTTGTAAATTTCGAAGTTTTCTTTGCTAGAAACTACGTGGAGGCCTTGCAGACTATTTATGGTGCCACTGGAAACTGCTTTGGAACTGCTTTATACTGCTGGTAGCGGAAAATTTTCATTGGATGACAAAATAACTTTTTCTGGACTCTGGCAAACTATGGATTCAACAGCAAAACCCAAGCCGTAACTAATCAATATTTTTTTGTTTTTCTCATCCTTCCTGAATATTCTGTCCCTAGCTTTGCTTAAGGTCCATACGCAGAATTTTTCACAACACTACTTATAACAGCACATTTTTAACAAATGTCCTTTTATTTGTATATACAATTCTATAAATTAATTAATAAAATAATCTTCATTTTATGTTTTTTAGGTCATCTCCGGGTATTCTTACAAAGCCACCTTTAAATTTGACATTTGTGAAATTTATTATAAAATTTGACAGTTGATGACTTACTATTTTAATAACAATTTTATAATAACAAAGCTGTCAGCTTGTTGTGAGACCTTATTGCTAGTGTTTTAACAAATTTTTTCACTTTTTTCAGTGAA